GCACTCATCTTTCTTTTATGAGCCCTTTTTTAAATCACAGAAAATAGGTTTTTCTGCTATTTTAATTAATATAAATTGTGGGAGTATTTTTATATAGCTTTTCTAGTTATAGATCAACCAGAATAAATATTTCAGGATCCAAGACCGTAGCATTGAGATTCAAGATCATGGTACTATATAGCACAGAAGAGAGAGAGGATGTTTTCAGTTGCTGAATTGGGGAGCTGTAATTTCTATTAAAGCCTTCTATCTTTTACAAATATCTCAGATGTAAAGGTCACACAGTATGTCTTTCTTTCCAGGCAGTGTTTGGTATGAAAGCACACTCATATTAATCTTATTCTGAAATAATAGAAAATACTTGTAGCTCGGGTCTTAGATTATGGCAGTGGTTTGCTCTCCAAGCTTGTCTCAATTTAGTTTCTGAACATTTCGTTACCAGACTAGGTAACATCATCAGCAGGATTTTCTTGTCCTATTCTCCTTAGCTTATAAATGTCTTGTGTGCCAGCATGGTCAGTTGGTCAGATAGATAGATAGATAGATAGATAGATAGATAGATAGATAGATAGATAGATAGATAGATAGATGATAGATAGATAGATAGATAGATAGATAGATAGATAGATAGATAGATAGAGCAAGCACCAAATAAACAGCCAATCACATGACCAACTGACCACACTGGCACACAAGACATTTATAAGCTAAGGAGAATAGGATAAGAAAATCCTGCTGAGTTAACCTAGTCTGGTAACGAAATGTTCAGAAGCTAAATTGAAACGAGCTTGGAGAGCAAACCACTGTGATAATCCTACTCTATCAGGTTTTCTGTTTTCTCCCTTCTCTTGCTGCCAGTTTGTATTTTCTTTCCCCATTTGCTGAACACATTTCTTCCCCATTTCAGAAAAACCTTTAAGATTTAAGACTAAGCCAAAGTGATCCCCAATCTACCACAGAACAAATCTTTTGGCTTTCCTCATTGTCAGAACACTAAACAATGCAGCAGCAGAGAGAGGTTGGAAGATGTTGTTTTGGTACCAGAGAAGCTATAAGGGTGGACCTCCTCTGATCAGGCTTCCCTTAGCCCAAAGTCCCACATTGAGAATCTATCACCATTTTCTTCTTCACTAATTATCACAGTTGTTCATCATGAACAGTGAAATCCATCAGTTACAGGTAATTCTCAGTTGTTAAGTGAAACTGGCTTCCAACCATTCATTTAGTGACTGTTCGAAGTTACAACAGCACTAAAAAAAGAAAGGGACTTATAACCAATTCTCACAAGTGTTGCAGCATCCCTGTGGTCACATGATCAAAATTCAAATTGGCAAATGACTCATGATGGCTGCAGTATCGCGGGGTCATGTGATCACTTTTAGTGATTTTCTGACAAGCTAAGTCAATGGGGAAGCCAGATTCATTTACCGTGTTTTCCTGAAAATAAGACCCTGTCTTATATTTTTTTAAACCCCAAAATAAGCGCTTGGCCTTATTTTTTTGGGGGGGGGGGTTGTCTTATTATTTTGGGGCGCATGGAGCAAGATGAGGCTTCTCTTGCCGTCTTACCTGATTTCCAGCTCTGCTTTTAAATATTTTTGGGGAGGGCTTATTTTCGGGGTGGTGGTGGTGGCTTATTTTAGGGCATGCGCTCAAAAGCCCGATTGGGCTTATTACCACAGGATGTCTTATTTACGGGGAAACATGGTAACAACCGTGTTACAAACTTCACAACTGCAGGGGTTCACTTGGCAAGAAAGGTCATAAAATGGGGCAAAACTCACAACAACTGCCTCGCTTAGCAACAGAAATTTTGGGCTCAATTCTGGTCATAGGTGGAGGAAGCTCTTCTATGCCAACATATGAGTAGGCTTATGCTTAAAACAGACTTTCAAAATATTTTTTCACTTTTAACATTTTCATTATTTGATCTGATGTGTCAAACACTTTTTATGCATTCACTTGTCTCATTCCCATCCATCCATCCATCCATTCATGCCACTTAGCAAAATAACATTTTCCCCTGGGTTTCATTCATTTAGAAAGTGCAGAGTTTTTCCAAGAAGTCCTTTCTGATTCTTCCATTATCATCATTCACTAGAGTGTAACATGCAATTATCACCAGCCTATGGGTTCCTATTTTTAAAGACACCCACAATAGTCTAGATGACACCAATTAATCGTTTCTGAAGTACATTTTAACTCTTTTATTCAGTTCTTACATATATTCATCAATTCTACTCTACAAGATCTGTCCACCTTCATTTTGATCTACTATATTATCTCTCTCTTAGTGTTTTTTTTTATAAGAAAGTCTATTTTTATTTCTTTCATGTTATGAATTTAAATGCTCTTTATTGTATATTCTCTTCAATTTCCCATGGTAGAGTTGCTATCACATTTGAATCATAGATATTTCCTTCCACCGGCCATCGTCGCTTTGGCCGGTTGAGACTTTCACATCACAATTGTTAGGAAGGAAGGTACAAAAGGAAGATAAAAAATATTACTGGTCTTACTGAGGAACATTCTTGGGTAATGGTGAGGTTTCAACCTGTTTGCGATAAGTTTCTCTAAAGGCTAACTGAATTGGTTCATCATACTATTTTATATGCAAAGATCTCTAATCTAAGAAATAACCTTGTAAGTTATCATAATGTTGCCAGAATACCACCAACTTGGAAATAAAGGCAACAAACTCAAAATACCCTACATCTTGTGGAAAAATTGCTATGTTTTGAGACATGGCATTAACATCACTCAATGTGAAAAAGAAACAAAGGCTTTTGATTCTGATGGAAGAAGCAGCTTTCCATAAGGAGGATAATCAAAATTACAGTCCCAGAGTTTGGGATGCTTTAATCTTGGTTCCTCACTGAGCAGGGTGTTGGACTTCATGGCCTAAATCAGGGGTCAGCAACCCGCGGCTCTGGAGCCACATGTGGCTCTTTCATCCCTCTGCTGCAACTCCCTGTTGCTGGTCAGCTCCACAATTGATAGGGCTTTCAGTTAGAACAGGTAGAGGAAAAAGGATGCCGCGCTAGGAGGAGACTCTATTGTGGGGGAACTGGATTTCCAGTCGGCAGAGGAAAAAGGACGCCGCACTATGAGGAGACTATGATGGGGGAACCGGATTTCCGGTTGGCTCCAGAATTGAACAGGGGCTTCTGGTTAGGACCTTTGTGGCTCTTTGAGTGTTTAAGATTGCCAAACCCTGGCCTAAATGATCCATTTCAGGTCTTTTGATTCCATTATTTCTTTCCATCAAATAAAGCTGGAGAAGGACAGGATCCAAGTCTTATACAGTGTGTCAGGGTTCTAAGAAACACCCCCAAAGAAAGAAGACTCCGAGGCTTGTAGTTCCTCAAAGTTTCATTTTATTAGAGATGTCATATTGACACATCTGGGAAAACTCAAATTTGAAAGCTTCCAGGTTTTCCCCACCCAAAGGAAAGTCCAAGTCCCTGCCCAGCACCCACATGTCCATCACATGGTCCAATCAAAGCACCATCCCAACTGGAGATGCCTCCCAGTCACACCCCTCCAGGTGTAGGGCAAGATGTCCTTGACTCTCTGAGAAAGGAATGTTGTTATAACTATATATCACTCCTGCTCCATACAATCCCCCCTCCCAGTTTCCCACAGCAGTAAATGAGGCAGTCCTGAAGACCCAATTCAAAAGATGGCTTCCATGCCTGACACCCATTATTCCAACATGCATAGTGGCTGACCATGTAGTATATATTTATACAGAACCTAATTTCATACATATAGCGCATGAATATGTTCTTTCAATTGTAGTATTTATTTTGAGTAATTGTTGATTAATCTTTTATTTTTGTGTGTTTGATGCCCCTCTCATTGTCTTCAGTTGTGAGCAACCAAAGATACATTGGACAAATTTTGAGAAGATTGGTTTTTAGAAGATGAAAAGAACAGGACAGCAATGCTGAAGCATATTGTCTTGGGCAGATATATGTTTATATGTACATAGTTTTGTTTGTCCATTTCCTTCATGAAATAATAATTATGCATAGGAATTACATATTTCCATTTATTCTCTTGCTTCTCTTCCACCCTGGCAGATATTTAGTGCTGAAGGTTTTTCATTTCACATCATGTCATTAATTTAGAAGCAGTGATCCTTATATTCAGCATTTACCAATAATAAAGCATATTAATGAGGTAATTTTCACAAACCTTAAAATTACTGTACTTTTTGGAGTATAAGACACACTTCCCCCCCCCCCCAAAAAAGGAGGGTGGAAATGTTGGTGTGTCTTACACACTGAATAAAGCTATTTTTGGCCTCCAGAAACCCTGGCCCGTGCATCCCATTTTTGCCAAAAACAGGCCCGTTTTTCGCAAAAATGGGATGTGCAGAGGGTTTGGGAGGCCTGCAGAATGCTCCTGGGGGCTGGGGAGGGCAAAAACACGAAGTGTAGGGGGTTTGGGAGGCCAAAAACAGGCCCATTTTTCGCAAAAATAGCATTTTTGCCCTACCCAGCCCCCAGGAGCACTCTGCAGGCCTCCCAAACCCTCTGTTGCCCCTTTTTTGTGAAGAAAAAAGCCATTTTTGGCCTCCCAAGCCCCCATGTGTCACGTTTTTGCCCTCCCTGGTCCCCATGGGCACTCTGCAGGCCTCCTGAACCCTCTGCAGAGGTTTTGTGGGGCCTGCAGAGTGCTCATGGGGACCGGGGAGGGCAAACACTTTTTTTTTCTTGTTTACCTCTTCGAAATCTTGGTGTGTCTTATATTCCGGTGCATTTTATAGTCCAAAAAATACGGTAATATCACTCTTTAGCTTCTTTATCTCTTTTTTGTTATCAGGTGTATCTTTTTTACAGATTTCAAAGATTAATATTCCACTTTCATTCTTTCCTCATGGAACCTTGCGGCCTAGCCTATGAAACTTGATTAACTTGTACATTGTTATTTAGTGCCATGGTTTCTGAATACATTTTCTGTTGCTTCTTTTCTTTCTTTTTTTCATTTGACAGATGTAAGACAAAAGTCTATGCTGATGACCTACCCACCACAAGTGTGGTCATAGTGTTTCATAATGAAGCTTGGAGTACTTTGCTTCGTACTATTTACAGTGTTATCAATCGGTCTCCACACTACCTACTTTCTGAGATCATCTTGGTAGATGATGCCAGTGAAAGAGGTAAGAATGTCCAAAAATAAAACTCATTAACATTTGAACAGTATTGTGGACAAGGGATAGCTTTTCTTTCTTTATATCCTTTCTGTAGTACTACTTAGCAAATCTTGTAACGGCACTATCTGAGATTTTTCTGAAGAGAATGGCTAGAGCAATGGCTAGAGCATTTTACCATTGTAGACAAATGATTATAAAAAGCAAAAAGAATGTATATTGATGGAGCAGAGCAGGTTTTTCTTAAATTTTGACCTCAAGGGAGAAATTACATGGGATTCCCTGAGAACAAGTCACAAAACAACAGGAGCCATGGTGGCAGAGTGGTTAGAATGGAGTATTAAAGACAAATTCTCCCCACAGCCAGGAGTTCAATCCTGACCGGCTCAAGGTTGACTCAGCTTTCCATCCTTCTGAGGTCAGTTAAATGAGGACCAAATTGATGGGGGCAAGACCTGGTGACCTAGAAATGGAGCTCTTGCCTCACAATCAGGAGGTTGTGAGTTCGATCCTAGGTAGAGGCAGATGTAGGGTCTCCTGCTTGGGCAGGGGGTTGGACTTGATGACCTGCAAGGTCCCTTCCAACTCTGTTAATCTGTTAAATATGCTAAAACACTTTTTATCCTGTTCAGCTGGAGAATTTGGTCAGAATGTCTTTGGCCTGTTCAACCTTCCCAGCCCACCAAATTTACTCTCCTAGCTGGAGAACATTGGAGTGGAAATACAAGACATCTAGTGGATTAATTTTATTTGATGTACCTTTTGAGGGCACTTTAAGAGATCACTTGTTGATCATTTATTCATGTAAAAGTGGGATTGCCTTTGCTTTGAAAGAAGCGGTGATGAATTGTATATTATAAAATCTTTCTTAAGACCTTATGTCAAGAATTCCCTTCTTTTTCAAAATTTCAGAGCATGTAGTGGCAGCCTAGCCATGGCTTGCTTAATCATGGGGTGTTGATTAAGCCATAATTGGCAGGATTAATAGCAGAAGTAAAGTGCTCTGAAGCTGTTCTTCCAAGATGAGAAAACGTGAGCACAATGTATACGTCGGTTCATTCTCTTCGTAACAATAAAAAAAGTTCCCTGCCTGATAGAGAAACTGTTTTTTATCATGGCATCTGAATGTAGCTAACTGATTATTATCTCAGGAAGAACAATGGGTGCTTCCTTCCAGTCTTTCAGCCTGTGGCGTTCTAACAGCATGAAAATGTCTTCAGTCAGATTCTGATTTTCACAATGGAACTGAAATACAGTTCTCTGCTACTGAATAAGAGGCAGAAGCTGGATTCACACATCATATTAAGCAAGGACTATGAAAAGTGTGGCCCTGGTTCCACATGTGGTCCATTAAAATCCTGTCACCAGAGCCACAAAAAGTGACCGTGGGCAATCATTTTAGTAGGGAATGGTCTGAGGGCTAAAAACAAAATGGATGCCTTCAATCTTGCAAAGACTTAAGGAATCCATTTTACTGCTTCTATGATCTTCCAAAAATGTGTTCTGGCCAACAAAAATTGTTCAGACTTGCAATCATTTTGACTAATTGCTCCTAAATTTCAGAATTCCCTTCCCAGAAAGTCTGTTCCTCCATATGGAGTTGGATCCTTTTGGTGCATTTTGAAAATATTATTAAGAAAATATTTGAAAGTATGATGATGATATTGCTGATACTTTTTTTATCTCTTAAGGTTGGGCTGCTTTTTATTTTGTGCTTAATAACATGTTTATTTGACTTTTAAAACAAGAGGAGTATTTTATAGCATAATCTTGTACCACTTTATTCGGCAATCTCATTAAGTTCAATGAAGCTTGTTCCCAGAAATATGTTTTAGGATTGTGGTGGTTTTTTTAAAATAGTATACAAATAGTGTAGCACTCAGAATCTTTTAATTCATTTTACAGTAATCTGTTTATTTCATTTCCCCTGCTATATCATTATTTCATCATATTCTAGAAGAATATTTTCTTTCTAAATTGCTAGAGAAATTAGAATCAGACTGAGTAGTAGTGACTGCTGTTTCAAGTGGGTTGCAAAATATACTCTAGAGGGCTTATGATTGATCCTAATCCAGAAATAGAATACTTTCCCTCTGTGCCACCATCTGAAGTGAGTACACTCTGTAGGCAATGAAATGATCTTCTATGCTCTGTGGACCCAGATTGAGTGCCTACCCATGAAACACATGAGAATGAGAAGGTGTTGGGATTTGTGGCTGCAGGATATCTTTTAAAATGTATATACACAGTTAAAACAGCAATGCAGTTGGTATTTTATGTGTCTGAATGGTGCTTTGTTTTCTTGCAATAATATATACTGTAGATAATTGTATTCTTAAGATCCTGTAAGATAAAGAATGTTGTGTTTAGTTGAGTGGTCTTGGTTTCCTATTTTCCCCTTTTTCCTATTGTTCTTCTTTCTCTATTTGTATTTTATAAAGCAACAAAAGATTTCTCTTTTTGTTGTTGTTTTTCTCTGTATTCAGAAGCGTTTGACACTTCTGGTTATTATTTATGGAAAAAAGAAAGCAGTCAACTCATAGATCCTGCTCTGCTCTGCTCTGCTCTGCTCTGCTCTGCTCTGCTCTGCTCTGCTCTGCTCCTCCTATCCTATCCTATCCTATCCTATCCTATCCTATCCTATCCTATCCTATCTACCCTACCCCACCCTACCCTACCCACCCTACCTTAACCTACCCTACCCTACCCTATCCCATCCCATCCCATCCTTCCCATGCCCTTCGAATGTTGGTGTTTTTTTTTAAGCCCCTTTGTTTAGCTTAAACAAACTTTGTTGTATTTTCTTTCTTAATGACATTTGGCAGATTTTCTGAAGCTCCCATTAGAGAATTATGTAAGAAACTTGCAAGTGCCAGTAAAAATTATTAGAATGGAACAACGATCGGGACTGATTCGAGCTCGGCTTAGAGGTGCTGCCGCTTCTAAAGGCCAGGTCATCACTTTCTTGGATGCACACTGTGAATGCACTTTAGGTTGGCTGGAGCCCCTACTGGCAAGAATAAAGGAAGACAGGTGAGAATATAGAACAGGTTCTGTTACTATGACAGCCTCTGCCACTCACTCTCTCTCTCTCTCTCTTTTTTTTGGAGTCTGTTTGTTATTAACCACTCTTTTCCTGCTGTTTGTATCTCAACTACCAGAAATGTCTTGCTTCAGTAAAAGAACAGAAGAATGCTATGTATTCTATTTGGTTCTTGTCTGCTGTCGGAAGCCCACATACTGTACTTTGCTGATGGCTTTAAAACAGTGCCTTCCTGCTTAATGGGTCCATTTTTCCTCTGATTTGTCAGTTAAAAGACCCACTGACAGCCAGTGTGAAATATGGATTTGCACCAGGAAGATCTGGATTCATTCACTGAAGTATTTTGCCATAGTTAAGATTCCTCTAAGAATTGTTTATGTGAGTGTTGCTTTCAGTTTCCACAGGGAAGGTGAGGTAAGACTATAATAGTATCTAAATATTTGTTTTCTGCCCAGTCATCCATTATAATCAGAAAAAAAAAAACCCCAGATGACATAAATACTACTAATTTGTAGAAAATGCGGAGAGCAAATTCAGTCTCAGAAGTTTTTCTATTATCTCACATGGGAAAAGCTTTATGACCTGTTCAGAGACATTCAAAAGAAAAGGTGGCACTTCCCGCTCCCAGTTGCCTGCTATTTGATTCACACGCAAAGATATGTAGATTTACTTAAATAAAGCCTATGCATTCCATTAATTAAGATTTTACTAAGCGTTAATAGTTCCAAAATAATAGAACCTGCAGTTCTCCAAGAATACACAAAAGAAGGCATATCTTCACATAGTTTATATGTGATATATAAGATGGGGGCTACAAAATATGAGCAGGACTAGCCTTTATTTATTTTAAATTTAATTTAATTTAATATTTTTATTTCATTTCATTTCATTTCATTTCTCCTTGGGATGACTCTGAGGGTCTTAGTAGTAATCTTAGCAGTATGTTATTCCAGGGTGTAGAAACAGTCAAAGAAAAGGCATGATTCCTGAGACCCTCTAAATAAAATGCCTAGCAGATGGAATCTACAACATATTCCTCCTGCCCAGCAATAATGGAATGGTTAGAAACAAATACCCTGGAATCATGGCATGTAAGGCTTTGCAACTAATAACAGCTCCTTGAATTGCACCCAAAAGTCAGTGCAGTTCACAGAGCAAAACATGGCCACTGAGAGACAAACCCATAACTGCTGGCATTGCTGCATTCTGGAACAAATGAAGCTTACTTCTTCATTCTTCAAGGACCCCCCCCCCCTCAAAAGCATATCTTAATCTGCCCCTGGTTCTCTTAGCATCAGAAGAACACAAGAAATCATGGCTAGCTGACAAAAACAGGAGCTAGAAACAGGGAAATACACGGAAGGATCAGTGATATAAGGAAATATGTTAGCTTTCTGTAAATGTTGGACAGATCACTCAAACATTGATAATGTCATAGAGCCATAGAACTGGAAGTGGCCATTGAGATTATTGCATGCAAATCCCTCTTTGATGGAGTCAGTGAAATGAAATCATGTCGACAGATGGATGTCTAGCCTCTTGTTGTATTTTTTTCTGTGGTTCCAGTCATTAATTGCATTGTGAACTGAATCTGTCATCTTTGTTTCCACATTTGTAGTTTGAATTCTACATACCCAATTTCCTTTATGGGTTTCCCCCCCCCTCCCCTTTCTCATTAGGTTTCTTGGAAATGTATGTTTCTGATTGTTCTCTAGCCGATAGACCTCACATGGTGAAAAACTATTACTATTTTTGTCTTCATTGGTATAGCTAGATTTTGAATTCAAAATAAATAAATGCTTCTTTACCCAGCGGATGAGTGGAAACACAATGAATGTTGCTCCATTTCCTATCTGTGACTTCTTATTAATAGTTTGTATATTCAGCTTATCCATTTGGGGTTTGCTTGAGGAAAACATATACTGTGCTTTGGGGTAAAAAAAAAAGAAAGAAAGAAAAAAAGAAACAAGACCCAAAGAGAATTGTGCATATTTATATGTTATGGATTTCTCAAGGTATGGATGTGCTTAATGCGCCATGAATAATATGTCTGGATTTTCAAAACAGTAATCCACTTGAATGCTTGTGGAAGCAGGTATTCATTTGTTTTTCCTAACTTGGTCACAGTTCATATCGCCAAACGGATGTTGCAATCTCTGGAGCTTTCCCTAGTTTCAGTTGCCAAGGCTGCATGGATAAATCTTCAGATATATTGTTAACAATGTTTAGGAAAGGGAGCAGAGAGTGGCTGTAGCTAGAGCCTCATGCTGTCCTGCCTTCATGCTTTCTTCTCCTGTGTAGATTTTGAATGTATTTATTTAATCAAGTTGTTAATAGATTTCAAAAGGAATTCAGCCCTTTATATACAGCCTTACCTCTCTGGATGTGTGTGTGTTTGGACCAGACAGAGTTCCTTGCCAGGAAAATATGTTTGCATGTTTATTTTTGTTTTATAGGAAAATTGTTGTATGCCCAATTATCGATGTAATCAGTGACGACACATTTGAATACATGGCTGGATCAGACATGACTTATGGAGGATTCAACTGGAAACTCAATTTTCGTTGGTACCCTGTTCCCCAAAGAGAAATGGACAGAAGGAAAGGAGACAGAACTTTGCCTGTGAGGTAAGTAGTAGAGACAGAGGATGTTTCATGAGCATTAATGGTGTGTGTGTGTGTTTGTGTGTGTGTGTGTACCTATGACTATGTATTTATAAGACTTAGGTTTACTTACACGGGATCATATACCACTTAGATCGGGAAAATACATGGTGAACTTCATTATGGTAGGAAATAATGAGTGAATGAATAGGAGGAACAAGCAGGAGTTTGGCAATGGAATTGTAGGGGAAATCTTTAACAAAATGTCCCTCTAAATCAGTGGTTCTCAACCTGTGGGTCGGGACCCCTTTGGGGGTCGAATGACCCTTTCACAGGGGTCGCCTAAGACCATCGGAAAACACATATTTTCAATGGTCTTAGGAATAATTTTATTGTTGGGGTCACCACAACATGAGGAACTGTATTAAAGAGTCACAGCATTAGGAAGGTTGAGAGCCACTGCTCTAAATCAATACTGTACTCCTAAACTGAGAGCCTCAGCAGGAAACCAAAAAAAATCAAAGCTTATTACTGATGATCACTTCAAAAATAATGAAGTTCTGACCTGCACTTGGACTATGTCTAATTCTCCCTGAAAACAACCTGGCATGTATTTGTGGCAGGTTCAAACTTGTGGATTTTCAAGAAAAAGAAAAATCAGAGGATTAGAGTGGTGGTGCAGTGGTTAGAATGAGGTATTGTAGGCTAATTCTGCTGACTGCCAGCAGTTCAATCCTCACCGGCCCAAGGTTGAGTCATCCTTCCATCCTTCAGAGGTCAGTAAAATGAGGAACCAGATTGTTGGGGGCAATATGCCAACTCTGTAAACCGCTTAGAGAGAGCTTTAAAGCATGTGAGTGTAAGTGGTGTTGCTATTTCAGCAGAATGAAAGGGTGAACATTTAGCAGATCAAAGAAGGTGCCTACAATAGACAGAGAAAGTAACTTTCTCTAAGGAGGAAACTCAAACCAAGGAGCCATCCCAATGGGTTGGAGTGAATACAAGAAGTAAGAGGCAGAGAAGATACTATGCCGTGCTGAGTCTTAGATTCAGCTTTCAGGACCTCTCGGAAGGAGGCTCTGAAGCTTTAGGAAAAAAAAAAAAGAGCAGTAAGGGGGTGTCTTATTTTGGGGAAACAGGGTAGTAGTTGGTGGCTAGGGACAATGGAAGGGAGGAAAGAAAATGAGCCATGAAAAGTTCCTCCTTTAAGATTTTTTAAAAATGATTTTATTTTTTTCTTTGTTTCAATATCATACGTTTCTCTATCCATACTATTTTTTAAATATCAGCTTAAAGAATGTAAAGTGACCATATGTTTATAATAAACTTTTATTTTTGTAAAAAAGAAATGAAGTCAACCAACTAACCATGTGATGACAAATGGTATAGAAAACAATGGATTAAATCATACTATCTTTGACTTTGAAAATCTATGAAAAACTAAAAAATAAGAGATTTCTTATGTGAAAGATTAGAAAGGGGAAATATATTGAGTGTAGAAGGTGACTTAGGTAAATAGTATTTAACAGAGTACAGATTTTGGGGACTATGACCTGAATTATCTAAGTTATGCACTGCTGGTTTGAGATCAGTTATTCTTCAGAAAAACTGCTTGATATGTTTTTGGTCAAAGTAGAGCAAACAAAGACACAAATCTGTCTTTGTGTCCAAAACGAAACATATGGGAGTTGGAGATGAAGTCTCTCTAAGAATTTTGCCCATAATAGAAATATTATGAAATGGAAGTATTACAGTAAAAAGTGCATTGAAAGTAGCATTTTACTTACATTTAATTAAAATTAAATTAATTAAATACACTTAATATTATTACTTTTCATGTAATTAATCAAATCTAACTTTTGGAAAGTTCTGGGACTTGCATGTGGTCCTTGGACCTTTAATTGTTCTAGATCACTGTGCATGGGTTGCAAACATCTATGTTTTTTTTTTTTAAATAGCATAATAAAAAAGTTGGAAGGGACCTTGGAGATCTTCTAGTCCAACCTCCTGCTCCAGCAGGACACCCTATACCACAGGTGTCAAACTCGATCGTGTCACGTGATGACACATGACGTATTGTGACATTTTTTGCCTTTGTGGAGCCAGGGTGGGCATGGCATGTGTGTGATGCATCTGGCCCATGGGCCACCAGTTTGACATCCCTGCTCTATACCATTTCAGACAAATGGTTGTCCAATCTCTTCTTAAAAACATCCAGTGTTGGAGCACCCACAACTTCTGGAGGCAAGTTTTTCCACTGATTAAGTGTTCTGTCAAGAAATTTTTCTTTATTTCTAGGTTGGGGTTGTCCTTGATTAGTTCCCTCCATTGCTTCTTTTTCAGCCATCAGATGCTTTGATACTTATTCTTTTACTACTTAGTTCAAACTAAGGTCTCAATGTCTTTAACGCACAACCTTCGTCTTTTTCTAAATGTTCTTGCACTAGTTGGGATGAGGTGTTGCTTCAGTGTGGTTACTCATTTTCTAGTTGCTGCCAAGCTCCAGGCAAAGGTCCAAGCTCCAGGCAGAACTCCCACCAGGATATGCTTCTCACTGTAGCTTGTGGTCCTGACAATTGAATAGTCTTGTATTATCTGTCAATCTGTAGACATCGGCTCTGCTTCATCTTTTGTAGGCCATTTGCCTTCAGTGTTCCTGATAACCTCAGTTTCTTTCCCATTTTGCCTTAGCATTTGCTTTTGTAAACTGAAAGACTAGAGAGGGTGAAACTGCATCTGAATGTCAGTATGTCCTTGAAAATATTAAGAGTGTGGCTTAATTAGCCCAGCAGCTGGAACACCAGCTTACATGCTTGTTAGTACAGGTCTAAGAGAAATGTGGGGGGGATGGGACTTGTCTGCATGATTGCAGCTGCTTTTCAGACAAGCGTATAGCAAAGGCTTCTTCTCGACTTTAACAAACTTTTGTACATCCATAAGGAGTCATTATCCATGCCATTCTTCTGGTTTATCATTTGTGTCTCCATTTTAGCTGTCATCTCTGTTTGATAAGCCACATTTTTAAAAAATTTTCCAGCATTTCAACACATTCTTTGTTTTCTAATATTTCTGCATCAGATGAGATTTGTTTCAGCTCTTTTAGATCTTCCAAGGTATTCACTTTTAAATCTGGCATTTGTTCTTTAACATCTTTTAGAAATAATCTATCAATAGAAGCAGATGTTGTTGATATTGTGGCTGCTATATTTCTGCTCTATTCTTCTGGAGTGTTTAAAATGTAAAACCACTTTCTGTCATTTTGTCCCAATGCTAACAAAACCTTTTCTCCCCTCATTTATGCCTAGAGTCTTTAGTCCTTAGTGTCTACTTTCTGAAATGATAAAGTCTCAAATTTCTGTTATGACTTAAAGTCGACTAAACACTTTTAGTTCTCATGAAGGTGCTATTTATTTATATAATTATTTTCAAAATCTTAGAGCAAAAGTCCTACTGTTCCAAATTGTTTGGCCCCTTAACTCATTTGTAACTTTTTTCAAAATAAAATCTTAAATAGCCATTTCCCATGTTTTAAAAAGTTCTTTACATTCTAAAGCTTATAGTTAATTTTTCTTTTATTCTGGAATCTAGGTAAACTGACCAGGTAGCTTTGCAAACTTGGTTTTTTTCTTTTTAAGATCTTTTAGTCTTAAGTCAGTTAATTAGTAGGTTAGCAAACCCAGTGTCCTTAAAACAACTCTTACCAGTTGGGATAGTAATTGCTTTTCTTCATCTTCCAGTGCTCAAGCCCATGGAACCTGCTGTCCTGCAAAGAGAATAGAATAGAATAGAATTCTTTATTGGCCAAGTGTGATTGGACACACAAGGAATTTGTCTTTGGTGGATATGCTCTCAGTGTACATAAAAAGACAAGATACATTTGTCAAGAATCATAAGGTATAACACTTAATGATAGTCATAGGGTACAAATAAGCAATCAGTAAACAATCAATATCAATATACCATATTTTTCGGAGTATAAGACACTAGACTATAAGACGCACCTACCTTTTTTGGTGAGGAAAACAAGAAAAAGAAATCTGCCTCTGCCTCCCAGCAATTTTGCCTAGTTGCAGCAAACAGCCTGCTTTACTTTCATTTTCGTTTTCAGCATAGTTTGATCAGCACAAGAAAAAAAAATCTGCTCCCAACAATTTGCCTCCTTGCAGAAAGCAGCAGAGACCCATGCAGCAATAGGCAATGACAATCCCTGCAGCCTGAAACTGCAGGGAGGCCAACGGACAATCAACTTGTACTAATTAGGCTTCACTGAAGCTGAAATGGGCTGTTTCTTCTTGCTGCTTGCAGCAAGGAGGTAAATTGCTGGGAGGCAGAAGCCAAAGGGCGGGGGGGGGGGTTACATTCGGTGTATAAGATGCACCCAAATTTTCACCCCTTTTTAGGGGGGGAAAAGATGCGTTTTATATTCCGAAAAATACAGTAAATCGTAAGGATACAAGCAACAAAGTTACAGTCATGCAGTCACAAGTGGGAGGAGATGGGTGATAGGAACAATGAGAAGACTAATAGTACTAGTAATGCAGCCTTAGTGAATAGTTTGATAGGGTTGAGGGAATTATTTGTTTAGCAGAATGATGGCGTTTGGGAAAAAACTGTTCTTGGGTCTAGTTGTTCTGGTGTGCAGTGCTCTATAGCGTTGTTTTGAGGGTAGGAGTTGAAACAGTTTATGTCCAGGATGCGAGGGATCTGTAAATATTTTTATTTATTTATTTATTTATTTATTTATTTATTTATTTATTTATTTATTTATTTATTTATTTATTTATTTAATTTTATTTTTTTCAAACTTCTATACCGCCCTTCCCCTTTCGGACTCAGGGCGGTGAACAGCCAAAATAAAAACATTTATACATAGCATTACAATTAAAAATAGATTTAAAATAATTAATAAATTTGGCCCATAATTTAAAACTTGTCAATTTAAAATCAGTATCAAAATTTTAAAACCAACCCTAAAATCAAGACAGACCAGCTAACTGCAAAAAGTAAGTTTTTAGGGCCCGACG